AACCCACACGTATCAGAGGTAAGCAAATCATTAAGGAAATACAAATGAAAGCCACAATAAGATACCATTATTTAGTCCTTGGACGGCCACAATTCAAACAAAAGGCAGTAGTGAGAATGTAACATGACATAGTCATTGCAGAAAACAGTCTGGCATTTCTTGAAAAGCTAAATATACAACTGTCATATTCGACTGCGTGTATCACAACAAACATTAAGAATAGGAATCCCAGAACACTTAGTTATGCTCATAAGACATCTAGACCTAGACCAAGAAACTATTGTCCAAAAGGAGCAAAAGGAACACAGTATGGTTTAAAATGAGGAAAGGTGTGTGTCAGGGCTGTTGCCTTTCTTCACACCTGTGCAGTCTGTACGCTGAGCAAATAACTTACGAAGCTGCACTCTATGAAGAAGAATTTGGCATAAAGATCAGAGGAAGACTCATCAACAATCTGCGTTATACAGTGACACAGTCTTGCTTGCTGAAAGCAAGGAGGACCTGAAGCACTTGTTGCAGAAGATCAAAAACTATAGTCATCAATATGGATTGCATTTCAATATCAAGAAAACAAAGGTCCTCACCACTGGATGGATCAATAAGCAACATCATGATGAAGAAAGGACTGAAAATGTCAAGGATTTTCTCTCACTTGGATCCACAGTCAATACCCTCAGTACAAGCAATCAGGAGATAAGCAGACATATTACTCTGGGCAAGTCTGCTGTCAAGGATCTCCCCAAAATACTGAAGAGCAATATGTCAGTTGGAAGACGAAGGTGCACCTGACTCAGGCCATGATCTTTTCCATTGCTGGCTATGCATCTGAGAGCTGGACAATGAATAAAGACAACTGATAAATAAAGAACTGATGCCTTTGAGCTGTGGTCCTGGAGAAGAGTACTGACTATTCCATGAACTGCCAAAAGAACAGACAAGTATCTCTCGGAAAATGCCCAGTCAGAGTGTTCCTTAGAGGCAAGGATGGTGAAGCTTTGTGTCTCATACTTTGGACATGTTGCTAGGAGAGGCTATTTCTTAGAAAGGGACATCACGTTTGGAAGTGTAATGGGTCAGCAAAAGGAAGAGACACACTCAACGAGATGGAAAGACATGGTAACTGCAGCAATGGGCTCAAGTATCAAAGTATCAGAGACATTAAGGATGAACAGGGTTCGGATCTGTTGTTCACAGGATCACTATGAGTCATCCTCGACTCAATGGCACCAAACAACAATAAAGGAGCTCTAGTGGCTTAGTGGTAAGAAACTGTACTGCTCATGCAAAGGCTTGCAGGTTCGAATCCACCAGCTGCTTCACAGGAAAAAGATGAACTCCTGTATGATTTACTGCCTCCACTCAGCAACAACAAGCAATCTGACTTCTTAGGAAGATAAGTAAAAGACAAGAGAGCAGCAATTCAAACAGTGCTAAATGCAACACTGTTCACAACAGTCAAAGGGGGGAAACAGGACAAGTGTCTGTGAACAGATGGATGAATCAACAAAATCTGGTCTATCCACTCAATGGAACTGATACTGTATCATAAAGAGACAAGAAATCTTGACACTTGCCAAGGTTCATAGAAGTATTACTCAAAAGTACCACAGAGTAGAAACAATGTATAAACGGATAAACAAAATGGGATAATAGTCTGAATACTATTTAGCCACAAAAAAGAATGTGGTGTTGACCCATGTTACAACCTGGATGAAAGTTACACCAAGTGAAAGAAGCTAAATGCAAAAGATTATGTCTTTCTTTTTTCCCCTCATGTCAGATGGGTAGTGTGCCTATGTCCTAAAAAGGTTTAAAGGGTGGCACATGTCATACAGAAGTACGAACTGCCAGTTATCATGCTTATGAACCAGAAAAGGATCTATGTCTTGAACAATGCCATTTACCGGGCCACATCGAGAGAAAGATACATTTCTAGACAGAAGGGAGATCAGAAGTTGTCTGGGATGGGGGCAGGAGCAGGGCTGGACCGCAAGAAAAAAAAAAGGCTTGATGGAATCCTCCAGGGGTTCGAAAATGTTCTCGTGCCACATTGGGCTAAGCACTGGGATGGTATAGAAAGGTCCTCTGTTAGCGGTCAACAGCTGCTCCGCAAGAGAAGGATGCGGCTGTTCACTTCTGTAAAGCTTCAAAAATCATTGGTGCCAGTTCTACTGTCCTCCAGGCTCATGAGACTAGACGAGATGAGAAAGGCAGAGGATAAAATGTTCCAAAGTGAGTCTGTGACACATCTATAAGTTTCCAAAAACCACGGAGTTTTCATTCTTTTCTATTCTTCTATTTTGTGTATTGATTTTTTTTTTTTATAATACATCTCTTTTTTTTTAGGTTTAAGATTCAGGATTATGATCTCTTGGGTAATTATTTTTTTTTTTCTAAGGTTGAGGAATTTATTAGAGTATGAGAGGCAAACACACCCCAGGTGACAGAAAAAAACTCTGAAAATGTCCCTTCAAGCCAAGTAGGGGCCTGGCTTTGACCTTCCTAGAGGACAAGAGACTGGCAAGTCAGCAAAAACATTCTCTGGCAGTCTCTGGTGGGGGTAAAGGTCTCTGCCAGGACTGTTGTCATACCCTGCCAAGGTAGAGAGAAGACAAAGACTGTTTACAGAAACAGTACAGAAGCATAAAGAGCTATAAGCAAAGTCTGACACAGAGAGAAAGAGAGACGCAAAGAACCTTACAGACAGGCTTTTAGGTCTAAGTACCCCAAATACACATGTCCCTGGAAAGGTAAAATGTCTAATGTCTTCAAGAGTCCCTGGACTTCTCCCCACATGCCACATTACACCCTAAGATGCACATGGTACAGCCCAAAGGTTATATACTTTTGGAAAAAAGAAAATGAGGAAGAGCCCTGTTGCTCTGTAAGGAGAGAAGGCGCTGAAGACTGCTGGGCCTTTCCCACGTGGGCCTGCGTTCTGCAAAGCAACTTCCCAGCAGCATCACGGCACAGCTCTAAGTGAGTGTTTCACCTTTTGTCACCCGGGCTTCAATGTATTCTCTTCTCCGTTCAAGGGCTGTCAATTTCTCGTTAAGCGTTTCAAGTCTTGAGCAACAAGACATAGCGAACGAATTGAGCAAGTCCGCGATTTTCTTGATGCTGCTGGTGATGACCTCAGTGCACTCCCGGTGTGCCCAGTCGTGGTGAATCTCCCTCTGCACCAGATCCTCTTGCCCCGCCATGACAGCTGCCTCGGATAATTTTTTTTAATCGGTTTGCTTCCAAAGTTCATACTGCATTTTCATTCTTGCTAGGTGGTTATTGGTGCTATCTGGCTGACCCTGACTCCTAGCGGCTCATTCCCAGCAGATCAAAGCTATGCCCAGTCCTGCCCCAGCCTCACAGTGACTGCGGTCGCGTCATCTCACGGAGGGTCTCCCCTCCTTTGGGGACCCTCTACCAATGGAGACCCTCTACCAACAATGTTGCCCTTTTTCCAAGGGCTGGTCCCTCCAGACAACATATCTAAAATACGTGAGATGAAGTCTCCCCATACTTGCCTTACAGTGGATGAATTTGAGGGAGTATAAAACACAGATCTTCATAAAGCTGCTTGAAAACAAAAACTCAAACTTTCTGCAAAGCCCCTTCGTCAGAACTCCTCATCCTAGTGACCTTTTCTGGCTGAAGTTTTTTTCAGTCTTTAAAGAACAGTAAGTAAAGGAGTTACTACTGACCAGATACGGAGTTAATTAAATCGCTCTCATGGTTACTTTCCTTGAGAAGGCATGAATCAAGTCTCCCCACCCCCCATGGGAAACTCTTAGAAGTCTCAGTTCTACCCCACAATCCTCTATGGAGGGAGACTGCCAATACAAATATTTGGCAGGAAAGCTTGTTAGTTGAGACATTTTTCTCACTGGAACTCCTCAGCAAGCAGCTCCCATCACATGTGCCTGGGCTGAGAAGCCTTTTCTCGAGAATATTTACTCTGTAAATGAAGGAGGGGTGAGGGAAGGGAAAGGAGGGCGACTCAGCTGTGTGTCTTGCCGTGAAAACAGCCCACAAGATGCAAAGAGTCATCTTAAAAGACTTCAAATACCCACGTAAAGGCTCCCACAAACTCATGCCCTTCCTCCAAAGAAACAGGTGAGAAAACAAATGTCCCGTTATCACATCCTCACACCAAACAGGGGTTTGCCTTCTGAACCGAAATGGAGGCACATGAACCCTTTATGAACTCTGCTCGCAAAAGGACAAAGCAGGAAGTTATTCTTTCTACGGTATTTCAAAGCTTGTTTTTCCAAGACGATCTTGAGGATGAAGAAACAGAATAAATGCTCTTCTTTGTGAGCCTAGATTTGCCAGTTCAACAAACATCTCTCTCCTAACACTGTAAACTTGTTTCCCTCAATATATAAACCTGTGTAACATGCCTCAGTGGGAGCTCTGGTGGCCTAGTGGGTAAGGAGCTGCACTGCCAATTCAAAGGCACACGGTTTGAATCCCCCAACTGCAACTTGGAAAATAGATAGGCAATCTTCTCCCATGCAATTTATTGCCTGTGGAAGTCCACTGGAGAGTCGATTTGAACTTGACAACACACAACAACACGCCTCAAAAACATAGAAGCCAGGGACCCACAGTCAATAAAGATATAAAAGTAATCTTGTCAAGGAAATCTCTTGACAAGTTATTCAATCTTTAGTCTGGATAAATTATAAATGTGTCCAGGGTTAACATCAGAGCCACTGCTCTGCATAATCAGAGGGGACATAATTAACACTGCAATCTAGGCTGAAAGGTTCTTCCTGGAGTTGTGCAGTGCAGGACCTGTACAGTTGTCCATGGTGGCCTTGGTCTAAGTCATCTCATAAAAACAGTACTCGTAGTCACAGTCATTCACAGAAAGCAGGTGAAAATACAACAAATAGGATAAAATAGGGTAAAACCTTGAAGACAGTCCTCTAAAAATCTTAATTATTCAGAAGATTTTTGTAAAGAAATTTCTGGGGGAAAAAAAATTCCCAAGAGCTGACCTGGATGACTATTTTCAGAGCCTTCACTTTCTGGTCCGAGGCCCAGGCATCCTTCAGCGACTGGTTGAGCTCCTCGATGCGGTTCACGTAATCCTGTTGAGTCAAGTTCAACAGCTCCTTTTGGGATCCCTGTGGGCAAAAGGACAGAAAGTGTTGACACAGAAGGAAAAACCTGCACATCATCCTTAAGGAAGAATCCTGGGTCCTGACGGAACCTCAGTTTTCTAGGAGTTCCTCACAGCTCCCTGCGATTGGCCTTTTTCTCTGACAATCAAAGAAAGAGGACCTTCAAGTTTTACTCTGAGATGAGCAGAATGAGGTGATTGAAACCTCTGAGGCAGGCGAGTTCTCAGGTGACTCCTAGCTCAGCTATTTACCAGCTATCTGACCTTAGACAAACTGTTTTCTCCTTGAGCCTCAATATTCTCATCTGGAAATTAGGGTAACAGCCCGAACTTCACTCAACAAACAGTAACTAGGGGCTAAGAGGAGGGCCAGGCATGACACTAGGTACTCAAGATACTAGGTGAGCTCAAAGTTATTATTTTTGCACTCAGAGAATGTATGGGATAAAGATGAGAAAGACATTAACATGTACTGAGACAAACGATGAGAAGGAAGTATTTGACAGACGAGCAACTATTTCACAGAACCCTAAAACCAAAAAAGCCCAAGCCCATTGCAACTGAGTGGATGCCTACTGGACAGAGAACAGGCCCACAGGATTTTCAAGACTATAGATACTTCCAGAAGCTGGCTTATTTTGCTCTTGTTGTTATATGCCATCAAGTTGACTGTGACTCACCACAACCCTACGTACCATGTCTCTGAACCCTGCTCTATCCTGAGCCAGACTGTCTCTGACACACCTGCTCCTATTATTTCAGGTACTGTGGCAATCCACCTCATTCAGTCTTCTGCTCCTGCACTGTCCCTCCACGCTTGTAAGCATGATGTCCTTCTCCAGGGACTGGTCCCTCCAAGCAACATGCCCAAAGCATGTGAGACAGAACTTCAAAATCCTTGCCTCCAGACAGCAATTTGGTTTCACCCTCTCCAGGACAGATCTGTTTGTTCTGCTGGCAGCCCATGGTATGTTCAATACTCTTCTTTTTCTTTTTTTCAAATTTTGTGTGTGTGTGTGTACTGTCAAATCAGTTCTGACTAGTACAGCAGGAGACTACCCCTCCTTCTCCAGCAGAGCATCTGGTGGATTCGAACCACGTACCTCTGGAATTGCAGTGCAGCTCCTTGCCACTAGGCCACCAGAGTTCCCTGGTCAATACTCTTCTAAAGCACCACAACTCAAAGGCATCAATTCTTCTGTCATCCTTAGTCATTGTTCAGCTCTCTAATGTAGTAGCAAGTAACTGCAAAGACCATGGCCTGAATCAAGTGCACCCTGGTCTCTAGACTGACATCATTGCTCTTTTAGCACTCTGGAGATGTCCCTGACTTTCCTAATGCAATTTGTCTTTTTGATTTCCTGACTGCTGGTACTAAGAGTGTTGATTGTGGAACCAAGTAAGCTAATACTGTTAACAATCTCCATTTCTTCTCCATTTAGCATGATGCTGCCAATTGGCCCAGTGGTGAGAACCTTTGTTTTCCTGATGTTGAGCTTCAGTCCATACTGGAGACTGCAGTCTATGATCTTCTGCAGCAAACAGTTCAGGGTCCTTCTCAGTTTCAGCAAGCAAGGTGTATCATCTGCCTAGTGCAGGTTGTTTATTAGTCTTCTTCCAATCCTGATGCCACATTCCTCCTCATAAAGTCCAGCCTCCGAATTTACGGAGCAGTAAAATACCAGGCACAGAGTAGTAAAATATCATACCCAAAATCTTGGAATCACCAACTGATAAAGCTTGGATTCAAACGCAGGCCATCCGGATCTACTTGAGACTATTATCAATTATGCTATGCTGCATGATTCAGCTCACAGGATTCAACTCAGTGTCTTCAGGGTTAGTAATCACCAGTGACAACTGAGTGAACTGAGGCAAAGAGGACCGTGGCAACCTGAATAAGGCGTGTCCTGGTTAAACATAAGAACATGGACCCTGCAGCTGTCAGCTTAGATTTGGCAAGAGAGGTAAAAATTCTAGATTTGCATGTTAAATGTAGGAAGAGTTGGCAAAGGAGTCAAATCTCTGAAAAGTATGCAGAGGTCAGAGAGGCTGTGTGCAGCCTCTGTTGAAGGCAGGATCATTATCCACCCCAGGGAGGGGACTCTCCCCATGAGACACTGTCCTCAGATGACCTGAGCTGGCTCAGGCAGCACAACGAGGAAAATCACCTTGAGAAAGCTCCCAGGAGCTCACCCAGCTGCACGGCTGGCCCCTTGCCCTGCACCGAGTCAGAGCCCGGGGGAGTGGGTGCCAGGCACCGGCCTCCTCGGGCAGGCCTGGCTGAGAGCCTGTCACAGAGCAGACGTCGAGATGGAGCCACGCTGGCAGGAGAACAGCCGGCTCCCTGAAGGCCTTGCTCACCTCCTCGAAGTCATCCAGCTCCTCCAGCCTGGTGCGGACCTTCTCCGACATCGCCGACGTGCTGCTCCCAGCTTTGCCTGAGGAGAAACGCATGTATGTCACCCAGGCAGCTCTCCTCTCCCCCCAATACCTGCCATGGGCTACAGGCTTCCATGAGACGCTTCAGCATGGATAGCACGTCAGTTAACTACTTCTGAAAATGTCCCAAGATTTAGAAAACCATTTCCAAATGACTTAGAAGAAAAAGAAAACAAAACAAGTATCTCTCTCTCTCTTCCCCCCCCCCTCCCTCCCTTTCTCTTTCTCCCTCTCTCTCTTCCCCTCCCTCCCTCCCTTTCTCTTTCTCCCTCTCTCTGTCTCTCTCTCCTCTCCCTCCCACCCTTTCTCTTTCTCCCTCTCGCACCCCCCCCTTCTCTTTCTCTCTCTCACTGGTGGTTTAGTTACAAGAAGCTGTGCTGCAATCCCGAAGGCACACGGTTCAAATCCACCAGCTACTCCAGGGGAGAAGGATGGGCAATTTCCTCCCAGGCAATTAGCTGCCTCTGAAAATCCACTGGAGGGTCAGTTAGGAGTTGTTTCCATGGCAATTTGATAGTTATTATCTTAATAAATCAACAGATAACTCTCTCTTGATCTCTAATATACACCCAAAACACCAAAGTATATCTATAAAACACCAGAGTCCATCTACAAAGCTGCACAGGCAACAGTTTCATCTGGAAGCTGTCCCTGGGAGGACACGCATCAGCTTCTAAATGGTTAACTATCACCTTCAGTTATTTACACACTTCTCATGGCAGTAGCTGTAGATTTGTAGAGACAGTGGCCCTGACAAGGATGCCAAAAACTCCATCACTTATTTGTTTTCCAAGCACAAAAAGGCCCTCTGAGGCGTGCGCTCACAGAACAGAATTGCCCTGCTCTTACACAAACAAAACAACGAGCTCACGGTCTATCTGCCTGAAGATGGAAACCCCAGGGTCTCAAACATCTCTCTCAGCAGACAGGACAAGCCATGCCTCCTTCCGGCATCCACCAGCACAGTGCGGTTCAGCAGAGAGTGGAGGACAGAAGTGAAAAAAGCCTCCAAGTCGAGGGCAGGCCACAGGCCAAGGGCATCTGTCAACCTGGCTGCTGCCCTTCAACCAAAACACCCCCAAACCTGTTGCAGCTGAGTCAATTCTGACTCATAGTGAACCCGCAGGATGGCACAGGACTGCCCTCCAAGGGTTTCCATGGCTATGCACCTTTGTGGAAGCCGACTGCCACAACTTCGCCCTGCAGAGTGGCCGTGGGTTCAAACCCCCGCCCACACAGTTAGGAGCTGAGTGTCCTAACCACTCCAGTTCTCCAATTCCAGTGAAGTTTTCCTCATTCCAAAGGAGAGTTTATTTTCATTGGAGATTCCTCTGTTTCCTACTAGGCTCATTCTCGGGAATAAAAATGTCTTCTGTATGAAGACACTGGCTCTCAGCTCTGGTGCTGGCTCCCAGATGGAGCTGTGAGGAGCTGAGAGCAATCGACTCTTCTTGTTGTTGCTGCTGTGTGCTGTTCAGTCAGAACCGACCCACAGCTGACCCTCCGCAGGCTCTCAGGGGCAGTTAACAGCATGGGAGGAGAATGCCCACCCTTCTTTATTATGCTAACATAATAAAGTTTCTAAATAATTAGCTTTTGACTTTGCTTCTTTGCCCCTCTCATTTTGAAACAGAACACATGAAGTACACTTTGACATTTTAACAATTTTTAAGTATATTTTAACAAATAATAAAAAAATGCCTTTCTAATGACCACCATGAAATCTACCCACCTTGTTCGGCTGTGGCTGAACGTGATTGCTCAGGAGCACTTCCCACTGGAAGGCTGGGCCCTAACTACATTCATCACTATATGCTGATGGGATACTTCCTATCTGGGACTATCGTGAACACCGCTGCTCTCAACAGTTTTTGCACGTGCCTCCTGGTTCACGTAAGCATAAACTTCTTCAGGGCTACACTTCTTAAAGTTTTACACAAATCCATCCCTTAGGAATGTTCCAGTACAGATGACTCCACACTTTTTACAAGCTCCCAGGTGCTGTCAATACGGCTGGCTCTGGACTCTTCTTTAAGAATCCAGAATGAAGGCTGCACAGTGGAGTGGACTTGGGGGGAGAGATTGTATAACAATGAAAGAACTTTACTTTTCAAAAAGAAGAGTGAATTGGGGGAGGGAGGAGTGGGCAGGGAGAAAAGTGCAACAATGAATGAATGGAAACCCTAAGTCTCTGTAAACTTTCATTAAAACTAATAATAAAAAAAAATTTTTTAAAAGAATCATGCATCTGGGCAAAAATAGGAAACATTTCCTTCAAGAACCAGGTACAAATACTGCACATTGTGCAGGTCACAGAGATCCTGTCTGCTGCAGCCTTTACATTCTGAAGGCACAGGCAGCCCCTGAGAAGGGAAACAAATTGTATAGGTGTGGCTGTATTTGCACATGTTATTTATGAAAACAAGGAGCTACATAGACTAGGTCAAGAGCATTGTTCGCCTACCCCTAACCTGTGGTACCTACTAGAACTAAAATGACTCAGAGATTGGCTCATCTTCAATTGAAAAGACAGTTACACTGTTGTACAAAGTGGTCTTTTATACTCCTACCAACAGGACATGAGAGTTGCTGTTGCTTCCCCTTCTGACAAACACTTGGCATCGCCAATATTTTTTTCTAATTTTATTATTTTCTGTGGGTTTTTACCCCTCACATTGTGCCTCTTACAATCATTCCCATACACAGTATAAAATTAATCACCATTGATCTATACCCACTGTTACTACCACTTTTCAGATCCCCACTGGATCTCTGGTATTGCCAATGGTTTTTTTATCTTTCCAAACTGGTGGATATGCAAGAGCATAAGTTACTTTTCTAAGACTTAAGAGTCACTCAAAGGGGTGTGCGTGTGTGTGTGTGTGTGTGTGTGTATTTAATGTAGACCACACCCCTGAGGAGACTGGATCAGGGTTGTGAACAGAATCAAGGTGTTAATTCCTCCCTATTCATTACACTGGACCAGATCACACTATGGGGAATGACTACATCGTTACATAGCTGCCTCTACTCCTACCTCATTAGCAACATTCTCATGACATCAAGTCAGAATCAACCTGTAGCCGCCCTCCAGCTGTTTTCTGAGGCTGTAAATCACACAGGAGCTTAAGCATCTTTCTCCAGAGAGAAGCAGCCTTTGAGTTAGCAGCACAACCCCTTACATGCTACACCACCAGAGCTCCCCATTAACATCATCGAGGTTGGGATTTACAACCCATAGGATAATTACAATAGTCTGAGAATCACAGCCAAGTTGACATACAATATTAATCACCACACTGAACCAATCACTTAGTAGGAATTAGAAAGATGATGGACATATAAAAGCCAGCCACTGCACTGCACTGCACAGCACAACTTTTTTTGCTCTGCAAAAATTATACAGAAAGAATTCTCCCATCAAAACAATAAAACAAAGGGAGCTCTGGTGGCCTAGTGGCAAGAGCAGCACTGCAATCCCAGAGATACATGGTTTGAATCCACCAGATGCTCTGCTGGAAAAGGAGGGCAATCTCCTCCTGTACCAGTCAGATCTGATTTGATGGTACCCACATAATAAAT